CGGGAGAATGTCTGTGTGGAATTTGCACAATCACCTGAGGCTGGAATTGAACCTGGGTCCCTGGCGCAGTGAGGCAGCAGTGCTAACCACTGACCCCCTGTGCTGCCCTGTAGTATAATTAGTAAACCAAATTTATAAATAAAGATCTTCTCATAATTTCATCTAGTGGTTGTCAGAAATTACCTTGACATTAGGTAGGGAACAGAAGACAAAACACTGGATTGACAGCTTTTTATTCATGGTACGCTAGCTTGACTGGCAGGGCCAGCTATCGTTACCAATGATAAATTGCCCTTCAACTGAGTGTCTTACTATGTAGGCAGTTAGGAGTCAATCATCTTGTTGTGGGTCTGAAATGAAACGTTGTTCAGACCAGGTAAGGATGGCAGAGATGGTGTGCCCTAACAAATCCACGCTGACAACTCCTGATTGATCTGAGTTCCTCCAAGCTAGGGGATCAATGCTGCTTCAATGAAGTGCGCAGGAGCGCAGGCCAGGAGCAGCACCAGCCATACCTAACAATGAGGTGTCAACCTGTTGAAGCTACAAAATAGGACTACTTGTGTGGTAAACAGTAGAAGCAACAAGTGATAGTCAGAGCTAAGCGATCCCACAAACAATGTGTTAGATCTAAGCTCTGTAGATCTGCCACATCCCATTCTGAATGGTGGTGGACAAATCAAACTGAAGGAGGAGGCTCACCCCTGCCGCTCCCCTAGCCAAACTGTTGCAATACAACTGCAGCACTGGCAGCTAGTCAACAATGTGGAAAATTGTCTGGGTATGTCCTGTGCACAAAAAGCAGGACAAATCCAACCTAAACAGTTACCACCTGAATAGTCTACTCTTGATCATTAATAAAGTGAAGGAAGGTGTCATCAACAGTGCTATCAAACAGCACCTGCTCAGCAATAACCTGCTCACTGATGCCCAGTTTAAGTTCTGCCAGGGCCACTCAGCTACTGCCCTCATTACAGCCTTGGTTCAAATGTGGGCAAGTGAGCTAAATTCCAGAAGTGACAGTGCTCGACATCAAGGTTGCATTTAATCAAGTGAGGCATCAAGGAGCTCAAACAAAACTGGAATCGATGGGAATCAGGGGAAAACTCTCCAATGGGCTGGGGTCATACCTGGCACATGGGAAGATGGTTGTCTTTGTTGGAGATCAGTCATCCCAGCTCCAGGACATCTCCGCAGGAGTTCCTTAGGGTAGCGTCCTAGGCCCAACCATCTTCAGTTGCTTCATCAATGACCTTCCCTCCATCATAAGGTCAGAAGTGGGGATGTTCGCTGATGATTGCACAATGTTCAGCACCATTCGCGACTCCTCAGGTACTGAAGCAGTCCATATCCAAATGCAACAAGACCTACACAATATTCAGGCTTGTGCTGAAAAGTGGATAGTAACATTTTTGCTACAGAAATGACCAGGCAATGACCATCCCTAATAAGAGACAATGTAACCACTGCCCCTTGATATTCACAGATCACAGATACCCTACAGAGTGGAAACAGGCCTTCGGCCCAACAAGTCTACACCACTCCTCCGAAGAGCATCCCACCAGACCCGTTCCCCTACCCCTGCATTTCCCACGTCTAACCCACCTAACCTGCACACTCCCTGGACACTACAGGCAATTTAGCATGGCCAATCCACCTAGCCTGCATATCTTTGGACTGTGGGAGGAAACTGGAGCACCCGGAGGAAACCCATGCAGACATGGGGAGAATGTGCAGTCTCCACACAGACAGTTGCCCGAGGGTGGAATCGAACCTGGGTCCTTGGTGCTGTGAGGCAGCAGTGCTAACCACTGAGCCACCGTGCTGCTCTAAATTCAATGGCATCACCATCACTGAACCTCTCCACTATCAACATCCTGGAGTTTACCAGTAAGAAGTGAGAAGTGAGATGGAATACTCTCCACTTGCCTGGATGCATGCAGCTTCAAAAAGATTCACGCAACTTGACACCATCCAGGACAATGACTGGCGCCACATCCACTCCCTCCACCACTGACGCTCAGTAGCAGCGGTGTGTACTATCTCTAAGGTACACTGCAGAAATTCATTAAAGATCCTTAGACAGCACTTTCCAAATCCACAACTACTTCCAACTAGAAAGACAAAGGCAGAAAATGCTGGGGGCAACACCACTTCAAGTCCCTTCAAAGCCACTTGGAAATATATCGCGATTCTTTCACTGTCACTGGGTCAAAATCCTGGAATTCCCTCCCCAATGGCATTGTGGGTCTACCTACAGCATGTGGACTGCAGCAATTCAAGAAGACAGCTCACCATCACCTTCTCAAGGGCAATTAGGGGCAAGCAATAAATGTGGCTGTGTTAGTGACACCTCATGAAAAAAAGCAAAAAATTTCCTTTCCTACAGTTAATGTGTTAATCAGACAGCTTTTAATAACAATTAATTTTCATTATCACTATTTTTGAGACAAGCTTTATATTCCAGATTTATTAAAATAATTCAAATTCCACCAGCGGCTGTAGTGGGGTTTAAAACCATGTTTCCAAAGCAATACCTAGCCTTTGGATTACTAGTTCAGTAATATTACTACTATGCCACTTCTCTGCCTAAAAGGTTGCCTTAGGAAGTAACCTGAAATAGTGAACTTGCGTACAACTGACTGTGACTTGGAACAAGTGTGCTGGCAGCTTAGTCAGTGAGGGGTTTAGGGGAAATAGATGAGGTTTTGGCTTTAGTTGGCTTTGCTTCATCTGCCTTTTCACTCTTGTGTAAGGTAAGTAATTTATATATTTTGATTAATATAATTTATATCAGGGTTCGGAGTTTGAATATAGGCATGTGGGTTTATGACAATAAAAGAGTTTAACGATTAACTTATAATCATTTTTGTAGCCATAATGATTTCTTTTAAAATACTGGATGAAAGACAGACATCCTCTAGAATAATGTTGTTTTCTTTACATTGGGTGTGTAAACAGAATAAAAAGTGAAATAGGCTTCCATTAGTAGAATCAGGACTTTTTTTACTTTTTGGCTTCGGAGAAATACATAGTTTGGAAAGCCAAATCGGTTTTGCAGAAATCTTGATGAAGCTGGATATGTAAAACAATTTCTCTTGAAGGAGGAAGATATTTTAGACCTGTTACAAAATAGATTACCTCAGTATAAAGAATTTAGTTTGAAAGTTCTGAACCAGGAGCCTTTGGTTATAACCCTGAAGGGGTTATTCGAAGCTGAAATCTAAACTCAGATGTATGAAGATTCAAGGAAGAAGCTATCAGATTCTTAAGGCCAGAAATTAATCCATCTGTAATGATAAATCTATAGATATGACAGAGAAGACACTCCTCTCTGGTGTAAAATTAACGTGATTTAGTTTGTGTGTTTCAAAGTCTTCAAACTCACGTTATATATAAATAACTTGAAGAAGGGTCCAGACCCGAAACGTCAGCTTTCCTGCTCCTCTGATGCTGCTTGGCCTGCTATGTTCATCTAGCTCTACACCTTGTTATCTATTAATAACTTGGCTTTTCTTTTATCTTCTTTTCTTTTGTGTAATTTATTTTATTGTTGGAATCAAATCTGCAGCTTTGCGTGCTTATATTTCAGTGAAAGACCATCTCTTCTCTTTAACAAAATTTCTATTTTCATCTTTCAGTTTGTTTACCTTCATCATTTTCTATCCCCCTCCTAGTGTTTGATAAAGTGTTTGCCCAAACTTGCTTTCATAGCCACATCTCCTGCCTCAGTTGACCGTATCTGGCTCTGCTTTATTCCACATAGATTATCCCACAACCGGTGTCATTCTTCAATTTTCGAACCTACCCAAGATTACAGGCATCTCCAAGACAAACAATGTTCCTCAAATAGCTGTCCTGACACATCCTGAGATCCACACTTAGTACCATGTACACCCTCAACCTCTCTCTCTCTCTCTCCATCAGAACCATCTCATATGATCCCAAAGCATTCTTGGTGCCCAGGGCCATTTCATTCTTCATCTCATTTGACACTCTTACATGAACTTTGTCTCTTCCTTTCAGGCTTTAAGAAACACAAGCTCCAATAAAAGCAAGAAGAGTCATACTGGATTCAAAACGTTAACTCTGTTTCTTCTTCCACATATGCTGCCAGATCTGCTGAGTTTCTCTGTCACTTATTAGTTTCATATGAGAGAAGTAGGATTACCACTTTAAGTCAAACAATTTGCTGTCTTACTGCCAACAGTTTCACAAAAATGTTGACATTGTGATGCCTAGTTCCTTACTTCATACATAGTTTTTAGCTGTGTTTCAGATATTCCAGCCATGCCTGCCACATAGAATTAAAACAAAAATATGTAATTTCATAATTTGCACTGATATTTTTTGAAGTCAGATGTTACACCACAAATGTACCATATTGAATGCTATTACTTCAAAGTCAGCTGCTACAATCATCCATAATTGACGCTAAATCTGTTAAACAACTAGGAAGTCCAAAGTTTGGAAGTGACTGGCTAACTCTTTCAGTGGGCTAGCTCCGCACTCCTTATTATTCAGTCTGTAATGCTTTACATGAAATGGAATTAAACCACTAGATGAAGATCTATTACAGTTATTACACCCTGCACACAATTAATTCAGCAGCCAACAGTTTAAAGCAACAAAAAAATTGCTTTGAAATTAACCAGTTCTTTGCTCCCTCAATGTATTGTACTGTAATTTCTCTTTAAAACACTGTCTTCACTGCAGAAACAGCTATAGACATATTTTGTTGGCATCTAAATTTTAAGCAGCAGAAAACATGATTGAAATTCACATCAGCTACCACTTTTGCGCTTTTCTAGTACTGCCATCTTTAAAAGTAACCCTATATGTAAAAGAACAGTGTGAATTTTAGATATTTTATATCCCAAATGAGAGAAGTAGACGATTTATGAAAAATATATAATAGACATTCAACAACGGTATGGCCAACCTCAGAGAAAAACAAGCAAAAGAACTGAAACTATAACCAAGTTAGAAATAATACTCACCAGTCTGTGAGGTCAGCGACTGCTGTGATAACAGCTGAGCACCCACAGTAGTTGGAAGCCTCAGTTTGGAGTGTGGTGACAACAGTGATGGGGCAGGAAGAAGGAGATTTGACCGGGTCTGTAATAGGAAAGGCAAATCAGAAACCAACGCACAATTTCCTGGGTTACTCACTGACGTAAGTCTTGGGGCACACGCTGCCAATCAGTAAATAACACTTCAATAGTTCAGATTTTGCCCATAGATTTAATTTTGCTTTTTAAAATGTTATATGTATTCGGAATCACTTTGAAATCAACAACTGTACAGATGCAGAACAAATAATGACCTGATTCATAAAAAAAACCTTTTAAATGTCAAAATAATGGATACTTATTCTGGATAAAGGAAAAGTAGTTCTGGAACAAAAATTGCATACAATCATACAAAAAAAAAATCATCTTATATAAAGCGGCTATACACTGAAAAATCTTCTTAGTGGCAAACGTCTGAAAGGTAAAACTCCCAGACACAATTACAGGAAAAAAAAAACACTTTCCCAAAATAATGAAGTCTAAAGACAATCTACTGAATACATGCTTATTTGCATATTAGCGTTGATTCGATCTGTAGAGTTGCAGTATCCATGGAGAATTTTTGCATATGCTACAACAATAAAGGTCACTGTAGTTGCTTCTTCTGTTCATCAAATAGCATTTAACTCCAATTGATGAAAGGTCCATCTAATGTAAACTTACGTCAAAACAGTTAAGGATTATATCAAATTTTGCTGTTTTGTTCCTGTCTTTTCAGTTGAAAATTAAATATGACAGTGCAGATTCTTTAGCAAAAAAGCTTTAAAATACATGAAAAACTACAATTTTGTAAATTCACTAAAATTGTGTCAAAACAATCATTATGCCTTACACTGGTGCTAGCCACATTGTTAATGTGGAATTTATACAATTGTACACAAGTTGGCACAGACATGGTGGGCCGAATATCCTATTTTTTAAGGCTCTATGAAATACCTGGCATGGTACCTTAGTAGTGTATCAACTAGGCATTGGAATACAGTTATTTTCACAAGTGAATAAACATTGAGCTGTACAGGATGATATCTTATTCTGCACTATGATTGTGCATAAACATATTTTGGACCATTGGAAACTAGCCTACATTCAAAATTGTAGCTGGAATTTTCTTCATTGCATTTGAGATAAAAGAAAATCACAATCAGAAATTGCTAGGATCATCATCCATCACTATGAATAATACCTTTTTCTGTGTGTTTCAATGCAAATCATCAACTTTCAATCAATGAAGAAAAGTATTTTTGGATCTGAAAATGGACTAAATAAGATACTGTCTCGAATTTTGCTCATATGGCAGGAAGTTAAAAAAATCAAGTTTACCAGCATTATCATTTGTCAATACCCAGTTACTGGATTATTCGGCTTACCTCTGAAATGGTTTATTTAGAGTTCTTGTTGAACAATATCATACTTTCAATGGTGATACAGTATTTACAAAGACTACCCTATTGGTGACAAGTCAACACCCATCAAAGATCATTTTTATCACACCGGATGAGAACTTTCTGTTCCTTCATTCACAGTCCAGATTGGGTTTTTTTTATTATTTGGACCTCTTGCAACATTCAAGATTGCATGCTACTTCCTAGTTCTTAGCTGATGGCAAAAATTTATAGACTGAACAACGTATTATCACTCTGACCACAGAGCTTGGCACTGGGACAACGAACAGTTCCCTCTTCTTAGTTGCAATGGATCAATTTGTATAGGAGGAAAAATGCCATCAGCAAAAAAAAGCATAAAACCCAAAAGACAATGTCTCATTTTTTTGTCTGCTATTTAGTCAGTTTTAGGGTAAATATGACTAAAGAGGTAAATGCATAGCTGAAAGATTGGAGAAAGAGAAATTGGTTCTGATTCATGCTGCACTGGAACTGTGGAAATAAGACTGTGGAAAGAGAACACAGTTCTGTTTGAAAAGGCTTCACTTGAATCATGCTGGGAAGAGTGTCCTAGCAAATCAAATAACTAAGGCTTTAAAATAATTAGTGAAGGTGGGTTCAATTGAAAGAAAGTTTAAAAAAACTCAAAGAAACAAGAGAATAGAGGTGCAGGGTAGTGAAGAGGCAAAAAACAATCAAGATGTAACAGGAAGAGGTAGAAAATACACACAAACAGTGCAGCAGAATTTAGAACCAAAGTAAGTAATAATGGTCAATAAATTGAAGCATGCAGCATTTGCAATAAGATGGATGAATTGATGGCATAAATAGAAACTAAAATGACTTGGGCAGCTATTACAGAAGTATGGCGGCAGGGTGACCAAGACTGGGAATTCAATATTCAAAGCTATTTGACAATGCAAAAGATTGAGGAAAAAGGTGGTTGAGTAGCTTCATTAATAAAGGAAGATATCAGTGCACTGGTGAGTAGTGAGATAGGTGTAATAAATCATGATGTGGAATCAGTGTGGGTGGAAATAAGGAATAGTAAGAGAAAGAAATCATGGGCAGGAGTTTTCTATAAACTCCTGAAAAGAAACCTCACTGAAGGAAAGGTATAAATCAGGAAATAATGGAGATGTGTAAGATGGGAGCTACAACTGTCATAGGTGATTTGAAAAAAAAAACAAAGAACTGTGGCTGCTGGAATCAGAAACAAAAAGAGATAGCTGGGAAAACTCAAGAGGTCTGGCAGCATCTGTGGAGAGAAATCAGAGTTAATACTTCAGGTCCAGTGACCCTTCTTCAGAACAGGTGATTTGAATCTAAATATTGACCGGACAAATCAAATGGGCATTGGGAAAACATTGGGAAAAAAAAAATTGTAGAGTGCAACAAGGATTTTTTCTTAGAGCAGTATGTTGCAGAAACTATCTGAAAACAGGTTATTTTAGATCTAATAATGTTTAATGAGGTGGAATTAATAAGCTATTTCATAGCTAAGGACCCTGTAGGAGGTAGTGATCATAACACAGTAGAATTTCAAGTTTAGTTTGGGAGAAAACAACCTGGGTCTCAAACCTGTGTCAACTTAAATATGGGCAATTACACAGGTATGAAGAAAGAGTTGTCTAAATCAGGCTGAGAACGTAGATTAAGAGGAAGTCTGTGGATGAGCAGTAGTAGACATTTAAGCAGCTATTTCATAATGCTCAGTAAAAATTTATTCCAGCCGAAAAAGAAAAATCAACTAAAAAGTCAAAAAGGATGAACAAAAGTGGTCCAGGAGAGTATCTAAGTAAAAGACATAAAAAATGGTAAAAACTAGGATTAGGCCAGAGGATCGGAAACTTTTTTAAAGGAATCAGGAGCCAATGACTAAAACACCAACTAAAAGGGAGAAAATTGATTATGAAAGCAAATTGGCAAGAAGTGTTTCTTTGGGCATATAAAAAGAAAGAGAATAACTAATGTAAGTGTGGGAGCCTTGGAGGGTACAACTGGGAAATTAAAAACAGCGAACAGGGAAATTGCAGATAATATAATCCAATATTTTGTATCAGACTTCATGGTGGAGAACACTAAACATCCTAAAGATATCAGATGAGCAAGGTGTTAATGGGAGGAAAGACTTTGTAACAGTCTCTATCACAAAGCACTAAGTATTTGACAAACTAATTGGACTAAAGACAGACAAATTGCTAGGACCTGTTGACCTGCATCCCAGTGTTTAAAGGAAGCAGCTGCAGAGCCAGTGCAAGCATTGATTGAAATATTCCAAAAATTCACCAGATTCTGGTAGGGTTCCAGCTGATTTGAAAACCGTTAATGTGAGGCCACTGTTCAAGAAGGCAGAGAGAGAGAAAGCATTGACAAAACCATCTTGATTCAGATTGTTTGCATTAGGCTTTTGTAAATTTCATGTTATTTCTTCCTTAATACTGGATGTTAGCATTTTTCCAACAACAGATTTAGGTTAATTGGCCAATTTACAAAAGCCTAATGCAAACAATCTGAATCAAGATGGTTTTGTCAAAGGAAAGTCATGCTTGACAAGTTTGCTAGAGTTCATTGAGAATATTACAGAGTTGATAAATGGGTACCGGTAGTTGTAGTGTATTTGGATTTCCAGAAGGCATTCAACAAGATGCCATGTAAAAGGTTATTGCATAAGATAGCAGTTCAGGATATTGAGGTTAATGCCTTAGCATGGTCTGAAGATTGGCTAACACACAGCAAAGACAGAGAGCTGGAATGAGTGTTTTTCAACTTGAAAAGATGTAACTAGTAAATGCCACAATGATCAGTACACAGGCTTCAATTATTTATAATCTATTATAATGGTTTAGAGGAGGGGCATTCTGTAATGTATCCAAATAGGTACATGATATAGGTCATAGATAGAACATAGGAGGAATTTGTATGGAGGCATGTTGTGATGAGGAAATAAGGAATCTGCAAGGAGATTTTAAAAAATTGAGAGAGTGACCAAAAACTTGATAGATGCATTTTAAAGTAGCTAAATGTTTGGTTATGCAAGAATCAAGGGGGAGGCAATTCTTTAAATACAGAAAGGCTCCCAAAAAAACAGCTGCACACAAGGATCTGGGTGTCCTTTAGGGTAGGAAATCCACCTATCTTACTTGGTGACTCCATATCCACAGCAAAGTGGTTATTAGTGCCAAAACTGGGAGAGCTAACTCACAGACTGGTCAAAAAAAGTCTGACTATTACTGCCTCTGGGTATGACCTGTCCAAAACAACAGGACAGGTTCAACAGATGTGACTGCACAATGGTATATAGTCAGGAGGAAACGTCCCTTGGAGTCTTCAACATTGACTCTGGATGACATGGAGTCTCATGCATCAAGTCAAACGTGGGCAAGGAAGCCTTATCACATACTATTCTCCCTTTGCTAAAGAATTAGTGCTCCACAATGTTGAATAGCACTTTTAAGAAGTACAGAAATCTGCCACCAAAAGTGGCTCAGCAGCACCAGTACTGACCGAGTTAGTTGGACCCTAAAGGATCTCACTGTTAAACTGGGTCGCAGAAGGGAGCGAAGGAACCAACAAAATTGAAAAATATACTTGACCTCATCCTCATCGATCTGCATGCATGCATTTGTCCATGACAACAGTGGTAAGAGTGACCCCACAGTCC